AAAAAAGATAAATGTTAAATAACTCCAGTTTGGCATTCTTGAAAGCCTAAAATGCAATTTTTATGTACCCTCTATTCTAAAGAATACACATGGCATGATACACTGTAAAGAACTTTTTCTGAGCGCATTTATTCAGTAGATGTTATTACAAAGAAGGAAGTAAACACAAGTTTATACTAAGTATGTCACAATGAGCTACTAAGGAAAAAATATACAATTTTAAAGAGATTTCCCCCTTATGTAGAGTAGAGTTTATTTATATCTTACGCAATTTTCAGAATAGTAGTAAAGGGAGTGTTGTTACAGCGGAAAGTTTTCCAAATCAAATATTTCGCAAAATGGGATGTCTCCCCCTTCCTAAGTAAGATGTAACCTTGAGTCAATTCTATATTGTTGAATGTTCTAAGCATCAATATATCCATCTTTCTTGACTATTTCAATCATAATTAACTATCTTATTGTTCTTCAAACCTGAATTATTGACCACTAACATTGACCTTTAAAAGTTATGGCATGGAAGCAATTTTGTGACGTACAGTCAAGGAGTTGAAGAGTCAGACAACCATGCCAAAATCAGCATGTCTATTTATGTATAAAGGCTACAATAAAACACACATCTCTCCGTATTAACAAATATAGTGTCTTAAAGGTACAATCTTAAGTATTATAACAACATCAAATATCAAAATGTCCGAGTTTCAACACTTTAAACAACCATTCCCCACGATAAATTAAAGTCAATGCTTTTTGATATCATAGACAGATGATTTTTCAATAAAAATGGCACTAATAAATTAACTTACCTTGATATTGGTCATTTGCAAAATTAATTTGTTGACACATTCTGATTATACACACAAGTTCTATGGAGTAGATATTAAAACGATGCTTGAGTTTCTGTTTGACAATATCTAAATCACTTATCATTAAGTCAAATGCTGACTGGCGTTCCTCATACTAATTGTTAGGCCATTATTTATACTCTGAACTGTCGACGGATTTTTCCGTTATTTTCCGATCATGAAAAGGAGCACACTGCGGGTGTGACCGGTCATCAAGGGATGCTCACTCCTCCATAGCACCTGATCCCACCTCTCATGTTTTAGAGGTCCGTGTTTGCTCTGCTCCAAAATTTGTATTGCTTAATGGACTTTTGAGCTTGAATACTGTTCCTTATCTCTATGCATTTCATCTACAGATATGTATGTAGAGATCAGGTCTTCCAACAATCTGTTGGAATTCCCTTGGGTCCCAACTGCGGCCCGTTATTAGCAGACCTATATTTGTATTCATATGAAGCAGAATTTATTCAAAAACGTAAACATGAGAAGAAAACACTTGCTGTGGCCTTCAACTTACATTCAGATATATCGACAACGTATTATCAATTAACATTGATATGTCTACTCGATATATCCCAGTGAACTTGAAATAAAAGATACCACAGAGTTCTGTCATATCTGTTTCATATTTGGATATTTTACCAGAAAAACACGTTAATGGTAACCAAACAACCAAGCTTTATGATAAACGTGATGACTTCAACTTTTCTTTCATCAACTTCCCTTATTTATATAGCAATATACCCTTATCACCTGCATTTGGGGTTTATATCTCCCAGTTGATTCGATACGCAAGAGCATGCTCCACATAGGATAATTTCTAAAAACGAGGCAAACTATTGAAAAACAAGTTGATAAACTAGGATATCAACAGTCTCGTTTAAAGTCACCATTTCGAAAAGTTCTATGGTCTATGGTCGATACAATGATTTTGTCAGCAAAATTAATATATAATCTATCAATAAGTCGAATGCTGACTGACGTTTTTCATACGAATTGCTAAACCATTATTTAAACGCTGAATTGTCTAAGGATTTTCCGTTTGCCCGGTCATGACAATGAGCACAAGGCGGATGAGACCAGTCGACAGGGGGTACTTACTCCTCCATGGCACCTCTGAACTTGAAATATAAACCCCATCTGCAGGTGATAAGGGTTCAGTGCTACAAAAGTAAGGGAAGGAAAAGTTGAAGTCATCACGTTCATCATAAAGTTTTGTTGTTAGGTTAAATTATATGAAATCAAATCATTATGATTATGAAACTGAAGAAAGAGATACTGTTTAATGCAAGGTTTTAGGAAACGGTTTAAAAATTTGAATGTTTGGAATTTTTTCAATTTACACAGTGGAAGTATTGTATTGAAATCTTATTGGAAACATTCTTTGAAACTGTTTGACTTCCTAAGTTATTTTTGTGTATCCTTTTCTTTTTACTTCATTTATTTAGATTAAGCGTCTTTAGAAGATAAATAAAGAAGAAGGTACAGTTTTGACTTTATCGTGTCCTAAAAATTTAATGTCTTCAAAAAGTTTTGAAACTGGCTCAAATATTAGTTGAGTATATGAGTGTGATAAATCAGGAAAGAATATGGCATGAAGGAATACCATTCAGGAAATAAGACGTCATTAATTTGATGCATTTCTCTGTTCTAAACAGAAAAAGCCTCAAAATGACCCATTTCAAGGGTTATTTTCCTTAAGAAAATAGTGTCCACAGCCATCGCCCACTATAATTTTCGGATATGTTGTGTAAAATTCTTTGAAAAATCCCATATCTCAAAATCTTTGTGGGCGATGCCTGTGGACAATATTATGTGAAAGAAATTTCCATGGAAAATTGGTGTCTTCTGCAACTTTTTAAGAAAATACGGGAAAATGCAAATGTTTATGACGTCACAATTTGCTTTTAGAAGGTCATGTGAGAAAAATGATTTGCAAGATCTTTCTGCATGGAATTTCAATGATTCATAAAGCATGAGTTTTCTTTTTTTACATCACTTTCATTTTTAAGAAAAACACAGGGCGAGATTTGTATTGAAACCGTACCTTGTTCTTTGCAAAGTGATAAAAAGCAGGATATTATGTCTATATTCTTTGAGACATTTCTTATTCTACTATTACGAAAAACTATGTGTTGCAGGAAATATCACACAATTGTTTAATGTTACTTATAAATCCTCCAGTCAAAAGAAAAGAGAATATATGTTGTTCATTTCTTAGAATATGATTATTATTTCTTAAATTTAAACAACCGAATTTGTGTGATGCTGATGTTAAACACCTGTTGATTGATAATTATACGGGGTTGTCTTCGACTGCAGAACCGATGTTTAAGCGTGCATTTCCTGATATATGCAAAAACACTTAAGGAGGTTCGATCCTGAGCTTTTGAGCAGATTTTTGTGTGTACCTCTAAAAAATGTTTGCATTATATTTTAGTTCTAACAATAAATTTAAATTCCACAATGCCAATGAAACTATATTCACTTAAAAACCCATACAAAAAGCATTATATAAATAACTATATTTTGTTGCGGAAGACTTATCTTTTTAGAAGAAAGTGATTAATTTTTCTCTTTCGAAGGATTTGGATTCCTTAATTCATCATTGAGACTGCTCACTGCAGTGAAATATCTTATGCTGATCCTGAATTATACTTTAATTAACTATATTGATTTATATTGTCATATTGTGACAAATATAGGAAATATTTTGTGAAAGTCCAGAAAACAGCACTATTTTTAGCTTAAAATTAACACTTTGTTTCCATAAATAAAATGGAATTAATTTTTGGTATTTGTCCTTATTAACTTCAATATATCAAATTGTAGATTCTTCGTCTATTTTAAAATCATTCATATGCCTGAATGATCATGCACAGTGGTATAAAACGTTTTGTTTTGATTCGAGGAAATGCAAATTGAAAATGTGTACAGTGACAGAAGGTCGGTCTAGTTTGCCTCAATGAGATATTCACAAATTGAATTTATTTCAGTAATCAATTCTTTTTCACTTACTTTGTCTTACTAAATATAGTATATATTATTAGTAGTCAATATATAATCTGCATACATGAATGGACGAATTACATGTAGTACCTCAGTTATTTAATAAACTAAATATATCTGCAGTGTAATCGATGTTTCATCAAGATGGAATGGTCTGCGATGTAAAGTAGAAAAGAAGGGGGTGTCTTCAAAGTTGCCTATACATCTACATTTAAATGCACTGTAAAGTTTAGAGAAAACTGGGATGAAATATAATGTAAATAATATTTTTGAAGAGGAAAATATTTTCCAACTTGGAATATTTTATGTGTATTTGTAGTAATTGTAGATTCATAGCATTGTTGTTGTCCCAGATCTGAAAGACTGTGAGAAAACTTAAGGGAAGGGTAACTTTACGCTATAAATTCAAAACGGGTCGTTTAAGAAATTACCAAAAAAAATACCTAAACTATTTAGGCAACCAACTACAAGAAGAAAGTTTTTCCACAATAAAATGAAGATATTTTTCATAAGAAATATTTAAATTAAAAAACGCGCATTTTTCAAAGCTTAGATGAACCATAGTTTTTCAGTTCAAATTCTTCAATTTTTTTGTCTTGATGTGTACCTCTACAAAATTACTTTATTTGTGTGTTTACTTGTTAAACGAATGAGTCAATGAAATCTGACAGCTAGGATAACCTGACTTTTTTTTTGAAAATCAAGTATTTTATGGCTAGTCGATTGAAAAATTTTCCTTCCTCATGAACAGCGATAGGGGTTGCTTTTGGAACTTCCTGTCCAAATACGACTCGAACGATTTCGTCCAAAATGTGCACACAAATAGTATATATAGTCATGTATAAAATGTACAAAAATATTGAAAATTAAACAACAGGAAATCCTGGATGTAGGTGTGCTGTACGTCCTTAAGCATTAAAATATGTTGTCATCACTGCTTTAAGTATGTTTAAAATAGAGTGTAATTGTTTACTGTGCAGTATATTCTTCTAACGTCACATATAATGTAATCATATTACAGTAAATGAGCGAATGAGACTTGGGTATTACAAGTATTGTGAATCTACTACTTGTGTGCTAAAATAGAAGGGAAAAATTGAATAAGCAGTTTAGCATAGAGAGTGTATAATTCAATTCTACCGTCTAAAAAGCAATGCTTGTGTCTAAATAAAATGAGGGAAATCATTCACTTTTTACTGGAAAAATATTTGTGATTTTGATGCTTTAAGAAGTATAGTGAAGGTAAGAAATATCTAAATCTTAAAGAATTAACATTCAGTATTTGAAAAGTATTTACTTATCTTTTTTATACTCTACCTTACACGTGTTATATATGCGTTCATTTTTTAACAATAATTATGAATATCGGGGATGGAATTCAAAAATGTTGTCTTTGATTTAGTACATGTAAGTATTTCTTTAAATTTTAGTTCTGTTTTCATAAAACGTCAGTATTTTAAATAATGTTCACCAAGATATATGTAGCTAAGAGAGTTAGAATAAAACTGATTCGCACATCCCAAAGGCAGATCCTTCTACCCAAAAAAGACAACTGGCAAATGAAAACATTTAATCAGTGTTTATTCTTATGAAAACAATAATTCGCAAAGCTATATAGAAAGAATATAAAAATACATTTCAGTTAACATTTGATCAAATGAAAGAGAATTCACTTTTTATTCCAAGAAGTGAATAACTTTATTAGTTCTTGGGTTGATAAAACTCAAGACAATTCAGTATTTCAAAAGTGTAATGTCATACAGCATATAGATTTTCAATGATCTTAGTGACTGCTTCAGCTGCATATTAACATACTTGCTTATCTTTGATGAAACTTGATACCACAGAAAAATATTATAAAAATATCCAGTTTTTCTCTGGTAAATCAAACGTTCAAACTTTTCGTTATAGTAAAAAGAAAAGCATTAAAATTTTCAGGTAATACATGTACTATTTTAAAGTTTGCGTATGTAAATTATATTTGTATGTAACTATAGTAAATTTTTTTAGGGTAGTTATGCAGATGTTAAAATATGTTAACTATAATAGTATAGTTAATTATTAGTTAATTTTTGTAAGGTTAGTTATGCTTGCATTAAGTGATAAAAGTATGTAAGCTATAAATAACTTTAGTAATTTTGGTAGGATAATAATGGTAATGTTAGAGAATGTTAACTACAGGTGATTACAGTAAATTTTTGTTAGGCTAGTGATGCTCATATACAAATGTGTACATGTAAGCTATAATTCACTTTTGTAATTTTGTTGAGGGTAGTTATTTAGATTTTATGCAAATTTAATTCATAATAATACAGAAAGTAGATAATGAGCAATACACCAAATGATAAAAAAATAAATCAAGGAAAAAAACAATTGTGTTGAATTAACAGAAAGAAATAGAGCATTTGACCTAGTTTGGGGATAACCAATATAATGCTTGTATTGCTAGTTATACATTTAAAATACCGGTACTCTAAGTTATGCCTCCAACAAACACAGATTCTTGAAGGCTAAAGCTTTCTGCATGATGTTACATGTATGAAACCTTTATGAAAAACCTGTCCAACCCATGTTGTTGCTGATTTATGTAACAAAAATTAATCCCTCTACTTTAGTTCACTTTACATGTATAAAGTTTTTAAGTCTAATTCCTTAAAGGAAATATCTGCAAAAATATCTGGATTGTAGATTAGAAAGTCGTCATATTAATAAAACAAATATGATTGAAACATACGATTTATATAATCATTTTTAGGGTAACAGAACCCATTTTTCATTTACACATGGTTATTTCATAAGGTTTCAATTCAAAAGAATATGAAAAAATCCGAGTGATACGGAAGCCCTGGAGGGACATTGACTTACTTGTTATGACTTATTTGTTATAACTTATGTGTTGTGATTTACTTGTTACGAATTTTTTGTTGCTAGTTACATGTATAACTAAGTGTAACGAAGACATGGAGAACGTGTTACTTGGCTTATGTTTATTATTGAAATGATATGTTTTAGTCCTCGTTTAACTGGGATTTTTGATTAATTATTGTAGTTTAATGTCCAGTACAGTTGTGACTACTAAATTCTTATCTGTTAATATCTTGTAACTTTGTTGTTATAACTTCATTTTTATTTGTTAATTCTTATTTGTAATTTCTTGTTACTTAATAGTTATTACTTCCATTTTGCATAATGATTGAACACATGAACATACCTAAATGTACTATTTTATCCTGTCGTTAGTAATAAATTCAAAGACAAATTATTACTTTCTTCTTTTCTGAAACTGCACATAGCCTTTATCTTTCACGCAACGTTTTGGGTGAAGTAAACGTGTCATAAAAAAATTTAGAATAACAAGAATTAACAATTAAGTCATAAGAACTAAATCATAACACGTAAGAAGTAAGTCAATGTCCCTCCTTAGAACAACTAAGGTACAAGATATAACAGATAGGACTTAAGTAATCACAACTGTACTGGACATTGAACTACAATTAATCAATCAAAACTACAGTTAAACTAGGACAAACGTATCATTTTAATAATAAACATAAACCAAGCAACACGTTCTCCATAACAAGTAAGTCAATGTCCCTCCAGGGCTTCCGCAGAGTGATAATGCAAAGATTCTTTAAAGTAAAGGAAAAATTTGAACTTTGCACAAATATATGAACTTTTACTGTTAAAAAATATAGAGTTTAATGTTCAAGTGGGAATTGTCAACAGATAAGGATGATCTTCAAAGTACACCGTTTTACAGCCTTTAAAAAAGAAATTGCTGTTTGCAATCTGAGAGGAGGGCTTTATATCAATTTCTTAGCATACTTTTACTGTATATTCAACGATCAGTTCTAGAACAAAGTGCGCCACTCTTAAATGTTGAAGGTATTTGTGTTAAAGAGACCACAGGATATATTTCTAATAAAATTTAAGTGTTCGAATGTCCTCGCAACGCACTCAAATATTTCAAATTACCTGTTAACTTGTTAAAGTGCCAATGGTCAATTTGACTAAAAATCAATAATTTCGAGTTATCAACGAATTGAATTAAAAATTTAAAAACAGGCTATGCATTTAAAATTGACAAGGAGTATATTATTTTTGAACATTACGCACAAAATTGTTTTATTAGAAACAAAACTAAAAGGTACAAATTTAAAAAAAAAACTTTCAAAATAATAGTGTATACCATATATCTTACATGTAACAAGTGTTTTGTTATTTTACTTTCGATTAGTAATTCTTACTCATTTCGGTTGCTACATCCTTGTGTGCATCACTACATAGTATACCTCTGTTCACTTAAAAATCGAGTGGGCTGTAATGTTTCCTGGGATGACACAAGAAGTGATTAGTACGGAAGCCATGGAGGGACATTGACTTACTTAGGTGTTTTGACTTAGTTCTTATGACTTAATTGTTAATTATTGTTATCACACGTTTATTTAACCCAAAAACGTTGTGTACAAGATGGAGGCTACGTGTAGTCTCAGGAAAGAAGAATGAATATTTTGCCTTTGAATTTATCATTAATGATAAGATAAAATAGTAGTTATGTTTATGTGTTCAATCATTATGCACACTGGAAATTAAATGTAATATTTAAGTTATAACTGTTAAGTAACAAAAAATAACATATAAGAATCAACAAATAACAAATAAGTTATAACAACTAAATGACAAAATATAACAGATAAGAATTAAGTAATCACAACTGTACTGGACGTAAAAATACAATTATAATCAATCAAAAACCAAAGTTACATGTAAACTAGGACTAAATATATCATTTAAATAATAAACTTAAGCCAATTACATGTTATCAATAGCTACGTTACACTTGGTAATAACCAGCAACAAAAAAGTCAATACAAATAAGTCACAACAAATACGCTAAAACAAATAAGTCATAACAAGTAAGTCAGTGTCCCTCAAGGGCTTCCGTAGATTAGACAAGTGAAGTAGCGAGTTTGCAAAAACCAGGAAAATCGGCCGACAGAAATAAAAATGATCTTGTCTTAAATTTATTTTTTTTTAAATATGCTCATCTTCAGTTTAATGTTTTTTGTCCTGGTTATACATTACCGTTGAGGAGGTACTGAGATTCTTAGCTGAGTTCTTAACTTTACAAGTACTGTCATTATGAGCAGGCATTTTATTACACAGACTTACAAAAGGCGTTGAAGTATAATTTTTATTATAAATTAACATAATTATATTATACATGTAAACATGCTTCTAAGTTTGAAATGATCTTCATAAAAATTAGTTACTAACAACGTTAGAAGGATGTCTATGCTCTCTTACGCATTTTCATGCATATTTGTATAGGTCTCTTTGTCCATCCATTTGTCTGTGTATGTATTCGTCCGCAATTCGCATTGGGGGGTGGGGGTGGGGGTGCAGGTTAAATTTTGAGAAATTTCTACCTGGGAATGAGAAAGAATTTATTTAACTTTAAGGTGCTCGATGTCTTTTTTTTTCATGGCCTTCTTGAACCATTTGCAACGTTTCTCAAAAAGTGTATTGCAAGGAAGAATTGCATCTATTTAGCAGAGCGCTTGTAAAAGCTACATACATGTATATGCAAGTTATTTTATTTTCGTAATGCAACACTCTAACTTTAAAGGAGAGACAACTCTAACTTTATTCCAAACATTTGTGGAAGCAAGCAGTCCATATAGTTAAACCACTTAATCTGGATTTTTCAAAGTAAAAATGAAAAACTAATCTTCATAATTAAGAATTTTGAAAAGACGTTAATATTCTATTTTGTGAATATATATATATATATATATATATATATATATATATATATATATATATATATATATATATATATATATATATATATATATATATATATATATATATATATATATATATATATATATATATATATATATATTCAGAAATAATGATTCATGTATTGTTAGACAATGAAAGATACATAAAAATACAAACAAGATTCATGAATCAACGTATTATTTCATTTTACATTATATATTTATATATATAGAAAGTTTATGCCAAAATTTCTGTTAATTCACCCAAATTTAATGGCATACAAATGCTCAGGCAATCTGGAATAAATATGAAAGATTGCACATAGTCTGATATAAAATGCAATTTAAAACATGGAGGATATAAAGATAAATAAAAATACTATAAAGATAGATTGGAAAGAAAAAAATATCTGCTCAGATATGTAAATCTGCTTTTATTTATTTGTTTTAACTAAG